ATTCCACCTTACCCCAGTAAGAATGGCTAGCATTAATAAATCAATGAATAACAAATGCTGATGAGGCTGTGGAGAAATCGGAACCCTTCTCCATTGCTGGTGGGAATGTAGACTGGTGAAATTACTGTGGAAATCAGTTTGGAGATTCCTCAGTGAAATAGGTCCCACTGAACTCAGCTATTCCCCTGCTGGGTATTTCCCCAGAAGCTCTAAAATATTATATCACAGTGATATATGTGCACCTATGTTCATATAGCGCAATTTGTAATTGCTAAATTGTGGAAGCAACCCAAATGTCCATCCACTGAGAATAGGATAAGAAAATTGTGATGCTTTTGTATAATAGAACATTACTCAGCTATAAAGAACGATGAACTCGAGGCCTTTATAGGTAAATGATCACATAGAGACCATAGTCATAAGTGAAGTAAATCAGACCTGCATGTGCAAGCACCACATTGTCTCACTAGTGTAAAACCTGAAAGAGTTAATTTAAACTCAGAGGAATGATACAGCTTCTTTAAGAAACTTAATTCAACAACATTCAAAGGAGATTGCACTTTGTCAATACTATGTTCAGTGTTCTTAACACAATTCTCTCAGGAAGGGAAGGGTGAAGAAATTGTCTGCCCATCAACCCCTGCAAGGTGTGTGAACTTGTATTACTGATGTTCATCCATCTTCATAGTGACTAACTGCTTTATTCTTTAAGCAAAATCCAAGTTTTGACTTGAAAGGATTTCAGTTTTATCTTTAATTTTATCTTTAGTTGTCAAATACAATTAAATGTATTCATAGATGCAGTGGTATGTGCTACTATATATTTATATTACCTAATAGCTAAATCAAGTGGATTAATGTGTCCATTATCCCAGTATTTCTTCACATGCATGAGTGTGGATAGCAATTTTGTTTGGGATACATTTAACTACTAATATTAAGGAAATATCTTTTTCCTGAAATAAAGCATTTCAACAGACGTGGATACTTGTTACTATTGAAGAGTATATGTACTTCACTAAATATATTATTTTTCTCTAGCAAACCGTGAGACTATTTGAAAAGATCATATTTTCTAAAGATGTGCACAGTATAGTTCTGTACACAAATTTTATTCTGAATATATATAGCACGGTGATGTTAAGTATATAACAAGTATGAAAGAATGATGAAGCAACTCTTCCAGGAATCTTGTCAGGCCACTGAGCTCTTCCATGAGAAAGGTATACCCACCATTCATTTAATTCCAAAGACGGTGCAAAAAGTCAGTCTTTTAATATCATGATATCCATACTTAGGTTGTAATTATATGAGTGTGGAAGGGACACAAGCATTCAGTTCATAGATGGTACTGGACGGCACTGGAAGATAATCATGGAATCTTTTCCCTGACGACCTCTTTACTTTCTCTTCAGGCTTACAACCAGCAACTACCAGAACTACCTGGCCTTCGCTTTTGCCATAGAAGAGATCAACAGGAATCCTCGACTTTTACCCAACATTTCTCTGGGCTATGAGTTCCACAATTTCATTAGCCGTCATTGGATGATGCTAGAAAATTCCTTCATTTTGCTCACAGGACAACACGAAATCCCTAATTATATGTGTGGGAGACAAAGTAAGTGTGCAGCAGTACTGACAGAAATGTCATGGGGCACCTCTGGTCAGATCGGACCACTGCTGGAACTCTACAGATTTCCCCAGGTGAGGATTGTGGGGAAAGGAAATGGTGGAAGCACACCCATGGGTCTTCTACTACCAGGAGCATAAAGGGTTAAAAGTGAGCCTGAGATATGCATCTTTCAAAGAGTATAAGGCACCAGAGTCTCTGTACACAGAAAATTCGTGGGGTATAGACATTTTCTTTTCCCTTCATTCTTTTTGATCAAAGAGGAGGAAAGAAGGAAACAAACGTTTCTGGGTTATTTGAGTACACTAATTCACTTGTTAAAAAAATCTGAGGGTGATGTATAGAAAGATGGAAAGAACGCGTGTCTCCTAAGAATTGTAGGTGTTACTCAGCACACTTCAGAGCTACTACTGTGCTTTCCATCAACACTTCATGACATCACAAGTTTTCTTTTCCTTTAAGGTTACCTTTGGCTCATTTGATCCTACACTGACTGACAGTGGCCAGTATCCTTCTGTCCATCAGGTGGCCCCAAAAGACACGTATTTGGCCCTTGGTATGGTGTCCTTGATGCTTCATTTCCGCTGGACCTGGGTGGGCCTGCTCATCACAGAAGGCCACAAGGGTCTTCAGTTTCTCGCAGATGTAAGAGCCGAGATGGACAGGAACAGAGTCTGTGTAGCCTTTGTGAAAATGACCTCAACTGGGGCTGTCTCATATGTCTCATTTACAAAGCAGCATGATGTCCTGACTGCCGATACTGCATCAGCCAATGTGGTGGTTATTTACTATGATACTGATAGTACACATGATGTAAACTACATCATAGTGCAAGACTTAGTGACATGGAAAGTCTGGGTGACCAACTCACGATGGCAGGCTGACCTGTCTGGGAGAGATTTCATACTTGACCCTTTCCATGGGATGCTTGTTTTTTCACATCACCACAAAGAAATCTCAGGTTTCAAAAATTTTGTCCAGGAAGCTACCCCTTACAAATATCCAAAAGACACTTATCTTTTTATGTATTGGTCCAAGAATTTCGGTTGCTCATTCTCTGAGTCTGACTGCGCCTTGAAGAACTGTACACCTAATGCCTCCCTGGCTTGGTTGCCTCCAAATCGTTTTGACACAGTCATGAGTGATGTGAGCTACAATATATACAATGCTGTGTATGCTGTGGCCCATGCCCTTCATGCGATGCTTTTGGAAGAAGTACAAATTCCACTAAGGAGAAATAGAGCAGTGATGTTGTTTCGCTACTGGAAGGTAATGTATATTTTCTTAGAGGGCATGCAGTGTCATCAAGGTGCCCCTCTCAAGTTATTCTATGTGTTTCATCCAAGAATAGTGAAATCATTTCTACAAAATACAACTCATTGTGTATGACACTTACTGTTCAGGTAATTCTTCAGCTGAGTTGAAATGATCCTCAATCAAGGAGCCACTGGAAGTAGGAGGAAACAGGAGGCCAGCTCCTTCCTTCTGTCTGTAGGATGTCAGCACCTTACCCATGTAAACATGTTCCATTATTTTCTTACAGGACAACTTGAAAACCTGTAGTCATTTACAAAACTAAATGGGGTTAAACCTAAAAGTGCATTTAATTAAATTTCATGTAATTTTACAACTCTTCAGATACTGATGAACCCATTTTTTCGTAGATGCTAAGGGAATAGTGGAGTAGACAATGAAAGTTGTGCGTTTTAGAACCTTTGATTCCACAGTTGATGGTTTCACCCTAAAACTGTCCCCTTTATTGAAATGCAAGGGCAGAGAATACTTTTTTTCTGAAACTGATTGACATTTTTTGAACATGGTGATATTTTAATCCTTAGACAGTCATGTGCTCCACTTTAACAGATACCAGTGCTAACGTTGCTTTCAGTAAAGCAGATTAAAGGCACTTAGGGACTTTCCCCCATCCATAGTTCCTGTCCTTACCCTGGAACCCTGTTCTCATAGCACAATATGTCTCTTTTAGCTGCATCGCTCTCTGAGGAACATCCAATTTTGCAATCCTGCTGGAGACCAAGTGAACTTGGATGACAGAAGGAAACTGGACTCAGAGTATGACATTCTCAATTTTTGGAATTTTCCAGAAGGCCTTAGACTGAAGGGTAAAGTAGGAACATTTACTTCACATGCTCCCCTTGGCCACAAAATGACTTTATCTGAGGATATGATAGAGTGGGCCACAGGAAGTACAGAGGTATGTTGTACCTATCACTGCACAGGTATTTAACCTCAAGTGACCTAAACAGTGTCTTAGCTTCTCTGTCCCCAATTTTGCTCATGTAGTGGTCATATGTGGAAACTGAATAATAATAATGTTTTCAATATAAAAATATGATTTAGAACCTTTCTGATAAGTTGGAATGTAATGCATGTAATTATAATTTATATATATATATTTCATATTAAGAAATGCATTTGGCATTCAATTATATAGCTTTGCTCATGTATGCAAATTAATTTTATCTCTCTCACTCTACTAAAAGTCTAAGATGTTACCACTATATGTATTCTCCTTAGACTCCCCGCTCGGTATGCAGTGAGAGTTGCACTCCTGGATTTAGAAGAAGCCCTCAGGAGGGAAAGGCTGCCTGTTGTTTCGATTGCATCCCTTGTGCAGACAATGAGATCACCAATGACACAGGTAGGAGCAATCACCAATGCGTCCTGTTTTTGCATTCTCACTTTATTTGATATTCATTCCATCCATCCATACATCCATCCATCCATCCATCCATCCAGGAAATGAAAAAAATCTTGTAGAAAGCACCAATGATATAAATATTCCTCCACTTATCAAATTATTTGTTATCCTGAGTGCTGTTGCTAGGTTGGAAAACACATTTTTCCCTTTGAAATGCACTCTCATTTATTTTCCTTTTATTTCATTCTTACTCACCTTTTTTGTTCGTCTTTTCCGCTGCTACAAATTAAACCAAAATACACTCTCTCAATGATCTATGTCCCCAATATTCTTATTTGGTATTATGAGAGAGAATATCACCAATTTGCTTTAGACTGCCTCAAAAACTCAACAGACTGATCTCTGTCCACCAATTGCCTGGAATAACACATAGGCACCGTCACACCAGACTACATTGATTTATTTTTCTATTCCCATTAAAAGCAGTATTTTCTCAAGAAAAGCCCTTTCCCCTTCCGTACTGCTTCTATGTTCCATCTCATCATGAAGTTTAACACGGAGTAGGATTAAAGCCAACTCTTTGGAGTCACAGACAGTTTACAGTCAATACAAGATCAGGCACACTTCATCTTCCAGGGCCTGACGGTATTCTTCACACAAAGCAGTGCTCAGACAGATTGAATTCGATTGGAGGTGAGGCATGTCTTTGCTGTACAACATGCTTATAGCACAGCACAATCCAATTCCTAGGATTTTATTTCCATTCTCCTAAAATGCATAGGTGAGTGGGAGACAGACAATGACATAAATTGGAGTCTACCACAGAACTGCAAGGATAAGGGATTTAAGAAGTGATCATATCTGCATTTGAAGAGGGTGTCATAGGCATTTTTATAGAGATGATGGCTTTAGTGTTATATCACAATAAAAAGAGGTGACATAAATCCTTTTAGGATTAGTATAAAAGGCCAAAATGACATATTCAGCATTCATGGAATATTCAAATATTCCATGAAGGAAAATACCGTATTATTAAAACACAGATAAAATGAGGATGAGAATTGAAACATATTCTATAAACTATATGTCTTCTACAGTAGAAGACTGTTGCATACCATAAGTACGACTTTGGAAATATTTAGCTTTCTAATAAATCATGGCATGGTGGAATAATCTTCCTACTGAATATTTTCTAATTTGGTTTTGCGGTTGATATAAATTTTTATTTCAAAACATATTTAATGTGATTTCAAGTGCTCTCTGCAGTACATCAAGACTAATTACGTACTGTGTCATGTAGTTATTTTTAATATATATTTCCACAAAGTATAGGAATATGCTTCCCTTTAAAAATGTTCTATGTGCACATATAGAGAACAATGCACGCAATGATATCAGTTAATACATGATTCCAGTATGTATGATACTGTCATATATACTATATAGAATAGATCAAAGCACAAATTAAAAATCATGTGTGACTAAAAATCCTTTGTGTTAAAGCTAAATCTACACTGAGACAAATCTCCATTCTATATTACACATGCTTTTGTGCTGTTCTATATTTAAATAAAAACCTGAAATTCTGCATTTGAAATATTCGTCACACACTACAAAAACGTATAACAAGTTGAAAAGAAGAAAATGAAAGATGTGATGTCTGAAAGAAATTTTTAGAAAATTAAGACACATAAAAACAAACAGAATTAAATGTGGTTCTGGTAACAAAAAGTGACAACTCCTAGTACAACTGAGCAACAAGGAAACAAGAATTCAAAGTTTGCATATCTTGAGACATTTGACCATGACTACAGTTGTATAGAAAACCTTTCATAGCGAAATACAAGTAATTTCCCATTAATCTGTGCTTGAAATTTATAAAGTCCCAGGAAAAGTTAGCAAACCATTCCTAAAAAGAGATAAAAAGGCTCCAAATACTTATATATCTACAGTACCAGGTCTATGAATGGGTGAGAGTGTACAGTGTAATGCTTCCCTGCAAATTTTTGTTGATTAATAATGTTAGCAGTGAAATTTATGAGCACTTAAGGACATATTAATATTGACCTCATTCTATCAGAGAAAAGAGAAAGAGGAAAATCAATTCATTTTAACACAGGAGATAAATTGTATTACTCAAAGCTGAAAATGCATTTAGAGGAAATGGAGGTCACAGCCCACTTTCCTTTTCAAACTAAATTCACATATTCTATTTCAAATTGAGGTATGTGCTTCAGGGGGTGTTAGAAACTCAGAAAAATGCACTTTATAAAATATAATTAAGTACAGTAGCTCCTGGGAAAATAAAACCAATGCTAATAAATGCAAACAATATTTTAAAAGTGTACATCAGTGTGACTTACAAAGAAACAACAAGAGTATTTCTTACCAAATGAGCAGATGAAAAGTGTCTAACTGCCCCTCAGAAATGGAATTATTATATCCTATAGCTCACCTTGCAATTTGTGATCCATTTTTGAAGGCAAGAATTACATAAAGACTTTCTGTATCACATTTCGCCAGACATTACACTCTACATCATGGTCAGTGTAATGAAGAAAACACACAAAAACAAAAATATATTAGAAAGGGAAAAACATGAATGATAGAATTTTCCAGTGACACTGGTTTTTAGATATAAAATCCATGTCAATGTATAAAATGATGGTGGATTTCCTGGTAATGGTACACAAGGATATTACAAAAAAAAAAATTGTTTCCAAAGTCATAAGGCAGTCCGAGTTAAAAATCTGAAAATTGATTTTTGCAAATTTAAAATGATTACATATGTAGTAATATATCCTGTAATGGTTTTGAAGTTACCAGAATTAAATGGTTGAAATACCCCTTTGACAATAACAATTGTATGAGTGGATGCATTAAGCATGTTCATAGATGGAGAGGCTCAGAAATGGCACTAGTTAACATTCAATGTTTTCTTTCATATATTTCCCTGGGACTTAGCAAATCTTGTTGGCTTCCTCATATGAGGTTGTACATTGACTATCTGGGGAGTCATTCTTAAAGATTTTATTTAGGTCAAACAAGTGAACTACCTAATAAAGTTGATCCTTCATTACTTTGTGAATAGTGAATGCTTTTATGGATATGTCAGACTTAGAAGGAGAATGAATAATGATAGTATTATTTAGGAGTTATTATCTTTATACTGTTTTTTTATTTTGTGTCTAGAAAGCAATGGTGAAGTGAGGTGTGATGAAGCATGTCTGAAATCCAGGGCTTTGCAAGGTTGAGTCAAAGGATTTAAGTGCACACAACATAATGACTTAAGGAGATGCTTTCTCAAAATATAAATCTTAAAAGGGTTGGAAATATATCTCAGAGTAAGGTTTCTGAGGTCATTCTCACATAGAGAAAAACAAAGAGAAAGAAAGAAAAAGAAAGAGAAAGAAAGAAAAGAAAGAAAAAATTAAAAAGAACCCATTTAGTTAAAGAAGTCCAATGAGTTTCTCAGGAAGCTTGCAAAAAAAAAAATATAATAGAATAATAAAGAATAAAACCTAGGCAAGTGACACTTTTAATTTTTGCTAGATATGGAGCAGTGTGTGAAATGTCCAGATCACCAGTATGCCAACACTCAGAGAAACCACTGCCTGCAAAAAGCTGTGACTTTTCTGGCTTATGAAGATCCCTTGGGGAAGGCTCTGGCTGGCACCGCCCTTAGTCTCACTGTCCTCACAGCTGCTGTCCTTGGGCTCTTTGTGAAGCACCGACACACTCCCATCGTCAAGGCCAACAACCGGGATCTCAGCTACACCCTGCTCATCTCCCTCACCTGCTGTTTCCTCTGCTCCTTGCTCTTCATTGGCCGGCCCAGCACAGCCACCTGCATCCTGCAGCAGACCACATTTGCAGTCGTGTTCACTGTGGCTGTTTCCTCTGTCTTGGCCAAAACCATTACTGTGGTGCTGGCCTTTAAGGTCACCGCTCCAGGCAG